AACACATTCTAAAATTCTCCCTTGTGAATATATGAACATTATAAAGCACATTTGAATAGATTTGGAAAATTATGCCTTGATTTATAATTTTACAATGCAGATGTGATCCTAAGCATGTATACAGGTGAATCATCACTGATTGTATTTAAGGAGGACTGAGCGAAGCCAGCACTTCTACTCAAAACTCGTCTCGCAGCAGATTTTTCTCTCATTACTTTTGCTCAAGCTACCCAAATCTTCTACCCTCTTTCTCAACCACATTCAACTGCGCCATCATGTGGACAATTGGTTAAAGAGCCAAAGTTGAATTGAAGAAGAACTAACAGTGAGTCGATTTTGAAGTTTGCATGGAGATCATGTGGATCTTCTTGCAGATCGAATCGCAATACTTCGAATCTATCACTAGTCGCAACACCGCCGTATTCCCAGAGTGGGTGATTGTCAACAAGTGCAGTCGTAGCCAATCGTGCTTTCTAAAATCAGGGTATATGCAAGCTAAAAGCAACAACGAATGCTTCGTTCCTTAATTTTAAAAAAACACAAAAGTTATATTTACCTGTGATAAGTCATCAAATAGTGATAAATCGAATCCGTTCACTTCTCCAACAGGGGCAGCAGTATTTTGAAGATGATCGAACCTCTCACACATCCCATAGAGCGTGGCTGTCTAAAGACGCTCTTCTTTAGAATTACTTAGAATACAACAACGGTGACTGAAGGGCAAAAACCTGCGGATAAATTTCGGTACTGCTTCCTAATCGTTTTTTCAGAGACTGAACATCATACCAAAAACGCAGATTTTGCCACGGAGTCATAGCAGATAGGTAAAAAGGTTCACCGATTATGACATTCTGCTGAAAAATGACAACTTTCAGTGTTGCAATGCACTCAGTGACTAAAAATATCTCTCCAATTCGATAGTTCTGATGTTTCTCAACATGAATCTGTGTTATGTAGTTTACCCAGTTACGTTACAGACCACTGTTGGCTCTCGCTTTGTAGAACTTGCTTTCAACCT